ACAAGCGCTTCTTTCACGTCGTGAGCCGGACGATGACTCCAAAGTTTCAGTCCACCCCAAAACCTCCTTGAAGTTGAGGTTCTCGTCGATGAGATGGAGTCTCAAGTCACGAGCATGTGGTATGACAGGTGATGGAAGCTCGTGCACTTGATGCAGATAACATCTCCACCCTCGAGACCTCTTCTTCTCTTCTCTCGTCTCATTGCCCCAAACTAGATATGACAGCATCGATTGACCACCATCGCATCCACCATGAGGGACCGATGTCGACGTGGCCTTGGCCTGGCTAAGAGACACTGCAAATGGGTCCTTGCTAAGTAGTTCCTCGAAGTTTGGTGGAGATATCACATGTAACTCATGGCCGGTGCAGGCCTCTTGCACCTTAACTCCGTCCTCAGCCTGGACGCCAATTGCTTCGTCAACCTCCCTTTCTTCTTCATGTGGTATCACCCCTGGGAAATGATCAAGAACTCCTTCTGCTTCACTTTCGTCATCTTCCACAATTTCTTTCTGCACCCTTTCTTGCTCTTCTTCTTCTAGCACGGATTGGAGAGCAAGTTGCCAAGCAATTTCTTTCATAAGATCTTCTTGCATCTCCTCACTCATGCCCGCCTCTTCAAAGCTCAGTTTGGGATGTGGGAAGGTGTGGTCGGCCACGGCAGGACATTCCTGATCATGATCTTCACAGGAGCTCTCCATGACAACTTCAGTGTGCTCCACAATGTCCTTGTAGCATTCTTCTTCCTCCTCCTCTTCTAGTATGGTAGCAGAAAGGTGATCTGGAGCAGGTTGTGCACAAGATCGCTCAAGATCATCGACGCTCTTCTTAAGGGTCAGGAGGATCTCCTCTGTTTCACGAAAGGCCTAGGTGCAAAGATCCATCCTAGCCCATGATCTCTCACTGTCTCGAGCAAACTGCTCCATGAGAAGCCTCAACTCATAATTTGGATCTGGTTGTGCAGTGTAGCATGGCTCTGCAGAATGGCTTGTGAAGGCCACCATGGGTAACTCCAGCTCCAATGGCCCTTCTGGTTGTGGGAGAAATTCTTCTTGGTAATGAGGTTGTTGTTGATATGCCCAGGGGTCTGATTGTTCTCCATAGTAAGGGGGTTGGTAATGGAATCCGAATCCATAGTCTTCTCGTCCTTGATTGCTCCAGGGGGTCTCGGGGTAATACCACCCGGATGGTGGTGGATACCCCCAATGGTTGGAGAAGCCATGCGGATCCATGATTTAGATCTGCACCAACAAAAACAAAAACACCCAAGTGAAAAGCAAGGGTGGAAAAGAAAAACTCTAAAGTAACAAACTTCTGCCTTTCCTAATACTCTAGAAAGTCCCCGGCAACAGCGCCAAAAACTTGACTCGCTATGACACAACTCCTAACAATGGCAAGTGTAACCAATGAAAGGGACTGCATTGTAGTGGCTCAAGTAATAAATATAGAATCCACGGGTCTCTAGAGTTACTATTACTCACCTTCAGTTCATTATCTAGCAAACCAGATTAAGATGGAACAACTAAAACTACTCTAACAAACTACAGTTAAAGTTAATCTAATTACAGGTTGCGAACTCACTTAGGTATGATTCCCCCTAGCCACTAGCCAGATTAATGATTGATGATCTCTAACCTGTTTCACTTTCATTCACAATGCGGAGAATCCTTAACGAGACCTTGAGTCTCGACTAAAGGAACAAGGCCCTCTTGAGTCAATTGCCTAGAGGGACGTATCCTTCTATAGAACAACCGATCAAGGCTTTCTGAACTAGACTCCCTCTATCGAAAGAGGTTCTCAATCGATACAAATAAGTGAATCAACCCTCAACTAAAGCAATCGATCCAATACTATCAATCTATGGTGCTCTATTGACCTAATCAGGTATTCGCTCTCATAGGATCAAAGCAGAATCAATAATCTCGACTAAAGCAGAATTGAATCATGAAAACATTCATAGATTGAATATGAACTCAAGATTATCAAGTAGGAGTACTCATACAATCATCCAATCAAACAAACATGGCTAGGGTTCCTCAAAACCTAAGTGAAGGGAAGTTACTCCATAGAGAAGAGAGAGACTGCAGTAAGAATCTTCAGATGATCAGTCTTCAAGTCCGGGCTTGTTCATCGAGCTTCCTAGGCAAAGAAATCCTCCAGTTCCACTCGAAGAATGCCCCCAAATCGCCCTCTCTCTCTTTGGTTCGTCCCTTGGGTGTTTGGAATCCAAAACCCAGCTCTCCCTTTCCTTTGGCTTCAATCTGCCTAAAAAACCTGATTCTAGGCAAAACACGGTGGAGGACATGGCCGTGTTTTACCTTTGCCCGCCCGTGTTTTGCCCCCAGAAGCCCTCGTCTGCCAAAACACGGTCGTGCCTAAATATGGACACGACCGTGTTTTTCTTTAGGCCAGCCCGTGTTTTTACTGCCGAACCTGTTACCCTATATTCAATGCTTCGTTTCTCCCTCGTCCAGACTCCGAATCAGTCGCCGTTTGATCCCAGGCGCTCGTAGTCTAGTCCTCTTTCTTTTCATTACAAGATTGCATGATTATTTGTTCGTAAAGTGAGTGTAGAAATCCATTCTTCTTCATGTCATGCCCGAGTTTCTTCTCCCGAATCGCCAATTGATCTCTGATTGACTTGAAACTTGCGTCTATGCTTCACTTTATGTGCTAGGACCTGAAATGTAACAAAAGAACACAACCTAGCGTAAAATAGGCCAAAGAAGCTATAATTCAAGCTTAAACGATCAAGAAACAAAGGGGAAAACATGTGCAAATATCGAGTCATCATCATTCCATCCACCACGAAGAAAGCACTCATCCGCTTCTGTGATCCAATTCCTACGACAACTGGGAGGATTCCCCTGGCAGAAGTAGACCCGCCATTGAAGCTTGTCACAAACACTTCCGTTGGGATCAAGTCATTAGTACTCTTGCCCAACTTCTTCAACATCCTTGTTGACATCACATTTACCGCGGTGCCATTGTCAACTAAGACTCTCGACATTGGTATGTCATCAAGTGTGGCCTTGATGTAGAGAGGCCTCAAATGACGGAGCATCTTCAGCTCCGGCTCATTGAAAACAACTACCCTGTTCGATTTTTCACCCGTGGTTCCTTCGTCCACAGCTTTCCCCTTTGCTTCTGCACCCATGATAGATTTATCTACCTCGCCGAACTCTGATCCCCACGTGATATTCTCCACTGGTACACTTGTTGACTCTTTCAGGCCTTGGTACAACACGTAAAAAGGATATATTCCCTCATCTTCGTCCAGTAGCCCAACAGCCTTGTGGCCTGCTTCACACGGCTCTTTCAGGATCCGCTGCGAACTCTTGTTATGCTTGTATTATGATAATTGCCTTTTAATTATGAACTTAATTAAACTAATTTAATCATCTATTAAAACATGGTGATTTCTGATTTGGAGGGACTTCTTATCCATCCTGCTAGGATAGCGAAAAGGATGGAAAAGGAAGAAGTATCTACATAAGGGGTTTTTCTCTTTAAAAAAAAATCGTAAAGTTTTAGTAGATTAATTACATAAGGTGAATGTATGTTTTTTGCACGTTTTTTACTCCTGTTTCTTCTCCAATAGTGATATGCATGGCGACTGCCAAATGTTTTTTTTTTTCATTTCGTTTTGTTCTTAACGTCTTTTTTTATATAATTGTTTCAAAACCAGTTTACTCCCCCTTTGATAAATTGTTTAGCGAATTACCAAGTTTTTTCATTATTTGTCATTCTTTTCCACATGAGAATTTGACATATTGATCCATTGTTATCCCAATTCCCAAATGTCCCATACATGGTACACCTCGAATATATGTTTTAAACAATTGTTTCACAGCCACCTCTGCACTTGCTTCACTGGGTATTATTAGTTGGTTCGCTATAATAGAAACCAAATGCATCTCATGTCATGTTTCTTTACATTTCGTCATGTTCTTTGTATCACATCTGTTATGTATCTCATGTCATGTTCTCATGTATAGAAAGACTCATATTTTGAGTATTAAATGATTCACATATTTACAATTATGTATAACATGTTTGTCAACTATTAATGTTTTGACTTTCTTTTTATTTAAATAGAAACCACATGCAGAATTCTAGATATGGTGCCTTATCACATAAATTTCATGAGGCAAACGTTTGTGTTTCTCACACATATTATATCTGTAAATCAAAGGATTTTGCTGCAACTCATCACAACAATTATCTCTTAGTTATAGTAGTATTCTGTTATTAATGGATGGTTCCTTTAATTTCACAAATTATCCATCAGACAAATTGAAGAATTTTTCACTTCACAAAGATGGATCCTTCTCATCTTTTAATTGTGGGATTGAGTCCTCCCAAACCAAAGCTCATCATTCAAACCATGTTGCGACAGAAAAAAAGACTGAGAAACAACGGGATGTTGCTGCAACTCCTGTCAACAAACTCAGGAGAAATATGCCCTTTATGTGAATTATCTACTTTTATTCATGAGTGTTGTTTTTGTTCAAGGTAAATACAATTTATTAGTTAATTTTCAAAAAAATTATATGTTTTTTCAAGTTAAATTCTTGTAATGCATCAAAATATTAGCCATTTGATTGTTAGTGTTAGTAATATTGTAACTCTTTTATTAGTTAAAATGCTAAAATTTTGGAATGTTGACCACCACATGTCTTTTTCAAGTATGTTGACTAACAAATTTCAAACATAAAGTTAACATTTAGCTAAAATTTCGTATTTTAAAAATGTTGATTAATAATTTGAAAATTTAAAAATTTTGACAAATAAATTATAGGGCTAATACCACTACAACACCCGAACTATCCCGAAAATGCCACTTGTGTCCTATTGTTTTCAATATTCCATCTGTGTCCTGAAATATTATTTTGTTAGTGTTGACCAGCGTTGACCGTTTATATTTAACAGAAAATCTAATCAGCGCTGATGTGGCGTCTAATGTGGAATTTCCAATTTAATTTTTATTTATATTTTTATATTACTTAAAAAATGAAATTAAAAAAAAACCATCCTCTCTCTGCCAAAGCCTTCTTCTGTCCGGCCACCTACCCTCGTCGAGATCCCTTCTTCCTTCCCAATCACTTCGCTTCGATTCCTTTCCAATCAATATATCCATCCTCGACACCCATCGGGAGGCCAGCTCGGAACTCGACCTCATCCCCATCACCATCAACGACGCCTTCGCAGTGACGGATGATGATGTTCGTCGCGGATCTGGAACGTGGAGGGCCCTGGCTTCGATTTGGGGAAGAGTTGGAAAAACTCCAAACCTATCCCTGCATACTTCGCCGAAGTGGAGGAGCTTCCAGATCTCCCTTGATGCGTCGACAGCCGAACCCCATAACCTCCTCAGCCTCCATCGAACCAGAAAATGGGCAAATCTCGTTTTCCAGGCGGTGGAGTCCCGGATTGCAGATCGAGCCATTCTTTCGGCTGAGAGCTCTAGATTGCAACAGGGTCAATTGATGGGGGACACAATAGGGGTTGCCGCCGGGGATACTGTCGCCCGGACCTGCTTCCTCTTCTCTGCGGCTGCGAGAGCAGATTAGATGGTTGGCGACCCTCCATTATTCCTTCTGACGAGCCAAGCAATGGCGTTCTCTCACCATCGTACGCCACCAAATCTTTGGCGAGGATGGAGGAGAAGAGTTGGAGGCGGTGCATAGAGAAGCTCGAGGGTAAAGGTCGGATCAAATCAAAAGAGTGAGTAGAAAAGGGAAAGTGTTTTCGAAGTTTGCCTAATTTTATAGCCCCATCTTTACATTTTGGATGTGGGCTATTGTTTTGTAGAATTAAAAGATTCATGGGTAAAACAATACAAATAATTATTTATCTCTATCAGATATCAATCATTTTCTTTCATACTTGAGGTTGATTACGCATGTATCATGTGAAACAACTACAATTTTCAACTATATAGTTTACTTAAATTGCTCACCTTAGTTATAGATAGTCAATTGACTCTTAGTTGTATCTTATTTGAACGTTATATTATTTTTCTACTCTTTCAGCTATATTGTGGCACATTATGCATAGTCTGACAACTTGGCAAGATGTTTTCCAATAGAGAATTGTACAAATCATATATTGAATGCATCTATAATATATATTATATCTATAATTATACAATTATTCCACCTAAACTCTCCGGATCAACAATTTTTAGCTAGAAGTTACAAAAAAAAAAACGAAGTATTTTCAATTGGATTTATATTTACATTTGTGCGTAGGTTACCCACCCAACGGGGCGGGCCCGGTGCTAGTGTAGTTGAAAGGAAGTGAAGAATGTACGGTAAAGGGAAGAAAAGAATATCCCCGAGGAAGAAGTTAGGATGCTAACTGCATAGGGGGTTAGCACCATGCTAACTAGCATCTAAGCCGTCCATCATTATTTCAGATCTAATGGCTACAAATAGATAAAGGGTATATTAGGGATAGAAGAAAAAAAAAATAAATTTATTAGGGATACTAGTCGGATTTTGTGGGATACAGACGGTTTGTATTTATGATTCTGGGGAAATGGTTTTATTTTCCATTTTTTTATTTGGTGAACGTGAATGGAGAGAGTGTTTGCGGGAAGGGATACTATGTCGCCGCCAGCGACATTTATACCATAATCACCACGTAAAAATCACTACTAATGCTAGATTTGAAGAACACTACAAGGTTCTGTAAAAATTGGAGATGCCCAAAAAATAAGAAACACTATGACCACAGATCTGAAGATCACTACTACAACGAACAAAATCCTAATACTTGTAGAATCACTACAAATAATAGATCTGAATACACTACTAGGTCCAAAAAATTGGAGAACACTACCAAAAAATGGCAAAACAATAAAAAACATTACCAATGTAGATCTGTAGAACACAACTACAGCATATAAAAATAGAGAACATCGTGTAAATATTTCATTCCCAACAATTACAAAACACTACTACAAGTCTACAATAAAGGTGAAAAACACTACTAAATTTGATGAAACACTACTAGTCTTTGAAAATCACAACTACTCTAAAACTGGCGGCGAGACATATATGGGATTTGAAATCCTAAGCCCACTTGAATGCCTCCAATATAGAACTTCAATCCACCCATAGTCGAGGTGGATGCAGACGACATAGGTGAGGCAGGTGCAAACGCGACGATGTTGGTGAGGGTGAAAAAGGCAAAGCTGGCGCAGGCAAGGCTGATGCGCACGGTGATGCAGATGAGGTTAGCGGAGGCGAAGGCGGCACATGCAACGTCGATGTAGAGGACGGCGGCGCAGGCGATGTGGTTGCAGACGATAGCGGCGCAGGACAGGGAGGCTAAGGACGGCTACAGCGATGAGAAGGAGGAGATTGCGAGGTCAGGGAACTCAGAAATTGGCTCTGGATCGAGAGAGAGAGAGAGATAGAGAGAGAGAGAGAGTGAGAGTGTGTGTGTGTGAAGGACTTGGAAGAAAAGGAAATTGATAAAGAGGAGGAGCAGTTATTGGATTCTACCCGAAAAATCGCACACTTATTCCCAAGGCTGGGATCACATACTGTTTACACCTAAAAATTAATCTCATACCACATCGATTAATCATAAAGAATTTCATGGATTTATAAGGCCAGCTCAACATTAATCATTAAATGAGCTAGCTGGGCCTTATTAGGTTTATGGTCCTAAGTGGCCAAGCCCCCTATCATTGGCATAGCGGTTAGCCGCCGCCATAGCAGAACAATGCCTCCAACCCCTTGGTATGAAATTTCCCCTAGTACCCAAGCATGAAATTTGACTAAGTATGGAATCTTATGGCAACAGGGGGCCATACGACAAGGTACCAAGTAGGGAAAATTTTGCTAAGTACCAAGCCCAAATCACCAAGAGAGTACCAAGCTGGCAAGGCTGGCCAAGACATGAAAATTGGCTAAGTATGGAGACCCAACCATAAGGGGGTTAAGCATGATGTCATGCAAAGGGGGTCAAGCGCCGAACATTGACACCCTTCAACATCAGCCACCCAAGTGGGCACCCAACCATACTTAGCCAAATTTCGCCCCACCAGCCGCCTACCTACCTCGCGTAAATACCTCTAGACATGGCAAGGGAAGAAGCCAAATTTTGGCTAAGTGTTGAGACCCAACCACAAGGGGGATCAAGCATGACATCATCCCAGGGGGATCCAGCATGATGTCATGCACGGGGGTCCAGCGCTATGCCTTCTACCTACCTTGCGCTAGAGTGTCAAGCATAATGTCGTGCAAAGAGAGCTATTACTAGTACCCTTAGCGCAACATGAATGCCTCTAGGACGTGGCAGCAAAGGAGTGGAAATTTGGTTTTAAGTGTTAAGTGCCAACCAAAAGGGGAGTCAAGCATGATGTCATGCAAAGGGGTTCAAGCATGACATCGTCCAATGGGGTCAAACACCAAGAGTACTATGCGGCCTAGCTACCTTGTGCTAGGGTGTCAAGGATGGCGCCGTGGCTAAGTATTGCGACCCGACCACAAGGAGGGTCAAGCATGATGTCATGCAAGGGGGGTCAAGCATGACATCATCCCAGAGGGGTCAAGCATAATGTCGTGCAAGGGGGTGAAGTACCAATTACCATGGCCGCCTACGTACCTTTGCACTCCGGTATCAAGCATGATGTCGTGGAAGGGGGGATATCGAGAGTATCCCTAGACGTGATGGGGAAAGAAGGTGAAAATTTTGCTAAGTGTTGAGACCCACCACAAGGGGGGTTAAGCATGATGTCATGCAAGGGGGGTCAAGCACTAAACACCATAGCTACTATCTACCGTGTGCTAGGGTGTCAAACATGGTGTCGTGCAAGGACATCATCATAAGTAGCAGGCATGTTATGCCTAATGGGTAGTTATGTAGCCATGTATATAATCAGGTGGTAGACCACCTTGTCAAGACCTCGCAAGCATGATGCCACCCCAAGGGGGTCAATGTGCATCCATCAGACCCCCAATCACCCTAGTGTCAAGGGTGGTTAGCACGAGTACCACTAAGCGTGAAGCCCTCACTCACCAAGCAAGACACATCCATGGCACAAGGGGCTAGCTATCAAGTGAAGTCATCAAGTTGCAAGCAAGTAAGATAGTCAAGGCGTCAAGCAAGCTACATCAAGCACCAGACAGAGGAGAAGCAATTAACAGAGACTGTTACACGGCAGTTACAAGAGATGGCTATAAATAGGAGAAGCAAAAAACGAAGCAAGGGTTGCACAACCAACCTTTTGACACACTGTGTCAAACTTTATCTTTTTCTCTGCAAATTAGCTATAGCCTTAGCTTTCGGAGCTCTCACTGACCCTCCATAGGAGTAGGTGTAATTAACTTAGTTTGTCCCAAAAAACTATCAAAAACATCAAACATCCTCGTTCAAATATTGTTCGAAGAGGAGTGAACCGTGATATTAATCGTTGTTCAAGAAGTCAAGGTGCATTTATTGAGTTCAAACACTAGATTTTCCTCGCCGGAAAACAAATTGGCACACTTGGTGGAACACTATGTGTTTGATTTGATGGCTCCACGACTGAGAGAACAAGAATGTGATCTTTCACCTGGATCTGTAAAAGTGCTAGTGGCTAGGTATGATCTTGGCGAATTAGCAAAAAGTGACACCGGAAATAATGGTGTGGCAAGAGGTCAACCATCACCGACCCCATGTTTGGGTGTAACCGCCACCACCTTGTCTCTCCACCCATCACTGGTGGTAGAAATAAAATTAATGGAGGAGTCTATGATGGGATACACAAAACAAATTGTATCTCAACTTGATTGTTTCCATACTCGTCTAAATCGGCGTTTGGATCTACTGGATGAGATTTGTGAGATAAATGAAATTAATTGTAAGAAGCTTCGCAAACTTTTGATGAAACCAGTATTGAGATCAAAGGTTTTGACGAAAGATGGTGTAGATCCACCATCAAGCATTGCTACTGGGGATACGAGTATTCTGAACTTCGGTGGCCGGACTACTCAGCCACGGTCAGAGAACTCATCGTCTCCTGTGACAAGTTAACCACCTCTTCAACATGGTGGTTATGGCTAGAATCTCGCTCCCACGTTCACAACTCATGTAAAGCAACTGCATGTGCAGACAGTTACATTAAAACCCGTCTCAAAGGCTACACCTTGCCCGAACGTGAGAGTTGGTGGAGAGATACCCACTGAAGATGTGTTAACAAAATCCTGTTCAACTCTATTTCCATCCATGCCCATCAAGCTTGATGGATACAAACCATCAATGGGGCAACAAGGAGGTCATTTAAGCTTACCACCTAACAAGTTTAACGTGAAGTGTCGGGTTGGGAGGCACGTTGATGTCAAGAAAATTGAACAAAAGGGTGTGTCGTCCAACAGAATACCATGTTTATTGTCTAAGTATGACATGGGGGCATGTCATTAGCCACTAGTAATGGATTGATAGTTATGCCCA